TTTCGTAAATATGTAAATATTTCGTAAATAAATATACACGGTTAAAGATGTAGATGTTCAACTTTAAGACAGAGCATAATGATTACTATTGAAAAAGAAACGGATATTGCGATATTTTATTGTTATATATATATTGCGATATTGAATGTATAGTTTCACCAGATGAAACTAATAGATATATTGGTATATAGGTATGATTTTGTCTTGTATAATATATAAATCACAAACACTGAGAAATACAGTAGAGCAACAATACTGTACAAATAGAATATACAGCGCATATTTATACGTATGTATGTATGTATGTATGTATGTTTATATATATATATATATATACATAGATAGATAGATAGATAGATAGATAGATAGATAGATAGATAGATAGATAGATAGATAGATAGATAGATAGATAGATAGCAGTCAGGTCCATAAATCAACATCGATACAATTCTAACATTTTTGGCTCTATACATCAACACAATGGATTTGAAGATGTGCTTTAACTGCAGACTGTCAGCTTTCATTTGATAATATTTACATCCAAATCAGGTGAACGCTGTAGGAATTACAACAGTTTGCATATTTGCTTCCCACTTGTTAAGGGACCAAAATTAATTAGACACTTGGCTTCTAAGCTGTTCCATGGGCAAGTGTGTGTTATTCCCTCATTATCCCAACCCCAATGAGCAGATAGAAGCTCCAGAGTTCGTTTCACTTAAGAGCAACTATAAAACTCGTCACTTACATTTGTTGAACATTTGATCCTCACTCTATAGACAAACATATATTTTGACCTAAACGATGTATTTTTATATATTAAATTAAATGTAAGCACCATTTAAAAGTGTAAACAATGAACAAACAAACACAACGTGTAAAATTAGCGAACCAAAAAAGTATTTGAGTGTGTGTTTGATGAATGCGATTAACTTGCAGTACAACAGAACACAGATTGCATCTTCAAAACAACCCACACACTTCCCTGTTCGAGCCTTTACTGCCTCAAAACTTGACAGGAAGATCCTTTTTTAATAAACAAACCCTGAGCCACTATAGAAATACACACTACAGTACGGTGCAACCACAATCAAAACAACTATCGCTATTGTGTGGAGCGTTTTCTAGATTAACTCATCGGCAGCCAACTCTGTGGTGCAAGAACCCTTATATAACAGTGTAAGCAGGTTTATAAAAACGGCTGTTCAAAGAGAAAGCTTAATCCGCGCTAGTCAAACAATGCTAAGCTGCTATCGAAAAACCCCATAATAAACCTGTTCAACCTGTTCATACACACCCTTAGAAACCAATCACAGTAACATGATCTCTCCTTTGATTTACCTCATGATACATGCCTCTTAAAGTCCGGGTTACATCAAAATCTACAATGTTTATTTTGCTAGCGCACATTGTTGTTCGCTAGCTGAACAACGAATCTGTGCAGGTTAACCCACTGGACGAACATGTTAGTTTGAGTAATCTTCAATCAAAGTCTGAGCATTTGCTTGAGCTTTTGAACGAGGGGTTCCTCTCTGATGATGTCAGAGTTTGACTAATATTCCAAGCCACGCCCCTCTAATTAGTTTGCTATGAGAAAATGATGACGTAGCTCAAAATAAAGCCTCGCCTCCTACTTAATATTCAGTTTCAGTTGGAAAAACATTAACATACTGCAATAAAAGTGTCCGCTACTTCCATTTTGCGGAGACTTTCTGCTGCGTTAGCATCGACGCTCCGAGAATGAACGGTTACCTCCTCAAAGTTGTCGATCATGAAGAAGATGTTGGGGTAGCTCATTTTGGACTCCTCCCCTTTGCTGTCCATTGGATGTTTGCTCGGAGAGGCGAACACTTGCTGTTAAATGAAGAGATGCGCCGTTTTCATTAGTCCATACATCCAAACAATAATGCTGCAGTTTGACCGTCATAAGTGTCAATTTTTTAATTATTTAGCTTTCAATATTTAATAGCTAAATATATATATATATATATATATATATATATATATATATATATATATTTTGTGTATATGTATATATAAATATATATATATATATATATATATATATATATATATATATATATATATATATATATATATATATATATATATATATATATATATGTTAATTAGAAATCTGGAAAATTACCATCGAAATTGTCCTGATTAAGTTGTCAGTAATGCATATTACTAACCAAAAATTTAGTTTTGATATATTTACAGAAGGACGTTTACAAAAATCATCATGCAAGATGATCTTTACTTGGTGTTCTTATGATTTTTAGCTATTACAAATATATCCGTGTAACATAAGAGTGGCTTTGTGCTGAACAAAAAAAAAAATCGGTCAACCCCACTACTTTCATGTCTTGTAGTAAACAAATAATTACTAGATCATTACTGAATTGCATTTATCGTTCTAATAAGCACCTTGTTATAAAACAGTTAGCTTAACAGCAAGACTCTGTTACTACTACGAATTTTGAACAATTTTAAAGAGACCTACCTAGCGCAATAAGACGTGTTTGGCGTGATTTGCTGCTATTTTCAGACAAGCGCAACCCCAATTTTCACGTTTTCCGTCACGTTGTTTAAATAGCCAATTCATTTGCGCCACTTTGTGGACTCATGGGTGTGCTGGTCTATAAAGGAGGCGTTGTTATTTTGAGGAACTAAAAATAGACCATTGACCAACTAAAAGTCGCTCTATAGTCCAGCAGAGCGCGTTAGTTATACGCCTTAAATGCTTCCACGTTATTTATATACATCTTTACAAATGAAATCCCTTCTTCATCTCAGGGGGCCTTTAAAGTATATTCACGACAATCTTCCTCGGTATATTATTATTATAAGCAGTATTATTTATTATATGCAGATTTATATTTACTGTAGCGTAGATTTGTCCACCTGAAGGCTTTTGGAGATGTCCGCATCACCATATGGGGCATAAGAACAGGACGTGTGTTTGGATATAACCTGATCGCACTTCGTTATTATTGTTCATTTATTCCTTTACTGGAACAAGAACTGAATTTAGAAATGGTTTAGACACTAATCTTTGCGCTTAACAAACTAAATTAAATATGTCGGCTGACGGAGTGAGTTTAAAGATCGTTGAAATAGAGTCCGAAGTCTTAAATCTTTAAGTTTAGACTATAAACAGCTACACACAAACGTACCTGTGATTTCTTTTTGTGGATGTGGATGTCGCCTGCATCTGAGCGTGTGCAAACTGCGCAGGTGACCACATAGTCCAGCTGAGGGACAAAGACACTTTATAGGCACAGTACAGAAAACGTCAATGACATGACATGAATATTAATGAGAGTTATCGAGGGTTATTCGCTCAGTTGCGTCATTTAAAATGCAAAGTTGGCATTGTTTGTGATGTCTTTGTCGTCATAACCGGATATAAACAAATACAACATAACCTGTTTGTCAGGGCAACTGGATATAATCAAGACAACATAACTTGTCATAAACCTGTCATAAACATGAGGTCATTATAAGTGTGTTATTGTGAGTTTATGATTAAAATCTGATTATATGTTTCAATACTCTTGTCAAATCATTTCACAGCATTATTATTACTATGTTTATCGACCTCAGCTAAAGATGTACAAGCGAAAATTGTGTCAAAAAGTGTTATTCGACGTTAAAATAGAAAAATTACAGCATCATGTCTATTTTTTCTCTTCAACATGTCGTTTTAGTGTCCTCCTGTGATTAAGTTCTTACTCCACTAAGAAGAACACAATCACGGCGTCTGATCATCGAGGCTTGCTTACTTTCTGCAGGATGAGATTGAGATAGACGCTCTCCTCCCAGTCGATGTCCGGATCTCCGAGACCAGGCAGCTTTTTAGAGTCTCTTCTGTAGACCTCCACCTCCACCTAAACACAATGCTCTGAGATTAGGACGGGCTTGTTTCAAGTCAAACTGCTTTCCGTCTGCCTGGATGTTTCACGCTTGGCGCATTAAAACAGCTGCTGTAATTGCCACACTATTATCGATTCTCACCTTCTTCCCTTCTGTGTTGTCCTCGCTGACGTACGAGAGCTTGCGGCGCACGTAGAACAGCATGTCATCCTGCCGTGGCGCCCATTTCTCCATGAAGTACGTGGAGAACATCCACGTCCAAAACACGATGCGGTCATCCTTAAAGCACCCTAAACAAATAAAAAGCAACAAGAATCTAGCTAAGTACTAAGAGACTTGTTGAAGGTTAAACTAAAATGCACCTATAGAGTAGGAATGTACCGACAAAGTGTTGTATTGCAATAATAGTACTATCCACATCGTAGAGAAGTGCAATAAATCTGACCAATTAAAATGCCAACAGTGAATAAGAATCAGAATTAGAGTTTTCACGATACTGGAATTCGATACCAATCCATACTGAAATTTTAAAAGCGTCCATTTCTCGCTAATATTCGAGCGCGTTCTTATACAGCGCTGATTGGTCATTGTGTTCACGTGCTCAACAGAAATGACTGTGATTGGCGGTCACTTCACCAAACTCACCGCTGTTTACTGAGTGTAAACACAGATACAGGGGCACTAGAGCATTTTAAAGTCAAGAAGACCAGCTGGTTTTAGTAAATGCGAGTAATTTACTAATGAATCGTGACTTTAAAACAATTCAGTGTCCCTGCATCTGTGGTTGAGCACTTAATGAACGCAATGGCAAAACAGCGTCGTTCAAGAACGTGCTCAACATTGCTCAAATGTTAGCGGGGAAATTGACGTTTTTAAAATTTCTGTACCGATTAGTAACGAATTCCAGTATCGTGACAACACTAATCCAATTATATGTTTTCAGAGGTTTTCAGTTACTGGTGGTCGTTTAAACTTGACATATTTTATTTAATTAGCTCAGAAAAGCATCTACTACTTTAGATATCTTTTAAAAGTTTATTTTAATCTAATCGTAACATGAATAAGTAATTTTTTAAAGTTGCTTATAAAATAGCGTTTCGCAAGTTCGTAAGAAATTTAGAGCTAAGAAATATCGTAAGAAATTTCATTAATCGCAACACTCAACAACAATATCGCATATGTTACTAGTATCGGGCAGCCCTATGATAAGGTTCCTCCACCGAATCTTTTCCGCCATATTTATACAGAAGCACAGACAGTTCAAACGTAAAGTTCTGTAGTCAGATATGATCTTAACATTTTAGATGTTATTGATGATATTGAGTTTTATGGAGAACTTGGCGAATATAAATACAAAACTGATCCTATTGAAAATAATTTTCCCTAAATGCGTAAAATAACCACCGGTTAACTTATCATTTGCAATAAATTCAGATTTTGCGCATTTTGTATATGCGTCCTGTCCTACATGGATTAAAAAGATTTTAAAGTAACGTAATTCAAGGTGCTTTCACACCTGTAGATCGACTGTTTTGTTCTGAAACCGGGATTGAAATTGTTACAATGTTACTTTTCGTTCTTGCTGCGGTTCGCTTTCACGCGGCAAAGTTTCAAAATAAATCAATATAGTTCAATCGTATTGATTCTCAGTACAATTAAATCTCTCTGGAGTTCGTTTCAATTGAGCTGAGACGAGGGTTGTCACGATACTTGAATAAGACACCAACTGGAATTCAATACCCGAGTGTAACTGCAGATAAAGGGACACTGGAGCGTTTCAAAGACGCATCGATCAACTGGTCTGTCTATAAGCTGACATACGAGCGATCCGCTGATGAATCACAGTTTTAAAACGCTCCAGTGTTCCTGTATCTGTAGCTACACTCAGTAAACAGCGGTGAGTTCGGTAAACTGATGATCGCCACGACCAATCACAGTCATTTCTGTTGAGCACGTGAACACAATGGCAAATCAGCGCTGTTCAAGACCGTGCAACATCGCTCAAATGTTAGCGAGAAATTGACGTTTTTAAAAATTCAGAACCGATTATTACCGAATTCCATTATCGTGCAACACTAATCCAATTATATGTTTTCAGTTATTGGTGGTCGTTTAAACTTGACATATTTTATTTAATTAGCTCAGAAAAAACATTACTACTTTAGATATTTTTTAAAAAGTTTATTTTAATCTAACCGTAAAATGAATAAATAATTTTTTTAAGTTGCTGATAAAAATGCGTTTCGCAAGTTCGTAAGAAATCTAGAGCTAAGAAATATCGTAAGAAATATCGTTATCGCAATACATAAATCGCAACAACAATATTGCATATTTTACTAGTATCGCACAGCCCCACGATAAGGTTCCTCCACCGAATTTTCCACCACATTTATACAAGAGGACAAGAAAGTTCAAACGTAAAGTTCTGTAGTCAGATTTGACCGTAAGAAGTGAAAAGCCTGACCAATCTTTTAGATGTTATTGCTGATATCGATTGTCATGGTGAACTTGACAAATATGAAATCAAAACTGATCCCATTTAATGTTTAACACTGAATTTACTTTCTAAACGTGTAACACTGGCCACTAGTAAACGTTTCATTTGCAATTAATTCCGACTTTGTGCATTTTACAGATGTCCTAAATGCTTTGAATTTAATTTAGTGTCTCTGCCCACGTTCACACTGCAGCTACATTTTACTTTCATTTTCCCTCAATTACCAATCGCATATTGAACAAACTCTCGAAAATTTAGCAGCTGCACCTGCATTTACAAACATTCTACGCGGCATGTACAGAACTGACCTAGCATGAGAGATGTGTCTGTCTACTTTATGAATGGTGCTACAAAATCACGAAAAAAGAGGTACAAACCTCACTCCTTTTGCTAGATATCACTAGTGAAAAAAGTTTACACTGAAAATAAATATCATGTTGGGGAAAATTGGCGCAACATTTTTAGGAGGATATTATTATGACACATTTCAATATATAGGCGATATTTCATTATGCTTTTAGATTGAATATTAATATCAATTTCTTTCCAGTCCTGTAGAAGCCACTCATTCATTTATTTTCCTTCAGTTTAGTCCATATTTCAGAGGTCACGTCAGAACCAGGGACCTCCTTGCTTTGAGGCAACTGTGCTAACCACCGCGATGCTAATCCCATTTCCACTGCAGCAATAAAACGGTGATCAACAATCTGAGCAATGTTTCCGTTTAGTTAAAATAAGACATTGTGAAACTTAGGTTTTCCCTTGAAGTTGGAAAAAATATATGCAATATATAAATAGCAGAACATCACAATGAATTTAAAACCCTAATAATATTGTATCGTGATGTGTCTCGGCTCATAAAACTCTGAATGAAAGTATACTTATCAGCTTATATAATTTCATTGACACCGATAGCTATATACAGCACATATATACTCATTTAACATCATACATGTTTAAGGGTCCCGTAATAACCCCCTGTAGCTCTCCAGGGGTTTTCTAATGAGTATTTCAATGAGGACCCTGTAAAGGGTTACACTTCTTCTTTAACTTTGTGCTTTGCAAGGTATTGCAGTGTCTTATCAAGAGTACGTGTGTTTTTGCTGCGCTTCAAAGCAAAGTCTGAAGTTGGTCCACACGTTTAGGGATCTAGTCCACTCGGATAGTGAACGCAAATTACTTTTCTAATAACTTTCTTGTGAAAAGTAACTCAATTACTAATTTAATGACTTTCCTCAATGCTACTTAATGGTGCAGTATGTAAGTTTGGCCCCCCCGTGGATGAACTCGGTATTGCACACCTGGTTCGATACACACGCAAGCGCAGGTTGCCAGATTGAGGACACCAACAGCAGTGTGCCTGACTGTGGAGCCTTAAGGCAGATTTAAGTCGTGTTCTAAGTAAAAGCAACGACGCACGATAAATATTCTCCATCCTAAAATAAAAGAGTTTTTGTCCAAACAACACCTGAAATTTATATTTTAGAATAGGTTTCTATTTCTTACAGGTGAGCATCAGAAAACTGATCCGCTCAGGTACACCTCATTTGCTTTATTCAAGTGTTAAATACTAATAATGAGAGTTTGGACGCCATTTTACATGACAATTATTGCTAAATTAATTAATTAATCAGTGCAAGCCAGTAATATTTATAGTATTTGCTAATTAACAACCACCTCATGTGGAACTCTGAATCTGCGTCTCATTTCGGAGTCTGCTACTGTCCACCGGAGGTCGCATTGCAGTCGCATAGCCTACTGTCAGAGGCTTCCTGACTAAATGAATGAAAGATAATTGGCTGAAATGGCACTGGGTGGGTTAAATAACCAAAACAAAGACAGCCGTTTCTGGCCCGTAACGCACATGTTCAAAGCAGATTATCTGACTTCAGCGTTGTTTATCAGATAAACAAGAGCTGGCATGTTTCCTAACTATCTGCAAATATATTATGGTATTTGTATGCTTTAGAAGAGTCTAAAACTTACAACACAGCACCTTTAAAGTCCTTATAAATCACATTTGGCCTCTAAAAATAATACGGCAAACTTATCGTTAACACGATAATAGTATTTGCGATACACGCATCACAGACATGTGTGATAAATCACATTTATGCATTCATTGTTTATCTAAATTTGACCAATCAGACGGCGCCTTGATATATTTAGCCCCGCCTCCCCAGTAGTTGCTGTTCTGCTATTGGCTGGAGCGTTCCAAAGCAAAACCCAGAGCTGAAAATAAGCAGTAATGGGCGGAGTCGAGACGAGAGGAGCCAATCAGAGACAGAGGTTTTCACTCGTTCAGTGTTTTAAAGACTAAACGTTTGCACCTCAACGCAGTTTAGTAGTCTGAATTACAATTTATTAATCTGAAAATGTTTGTAACTTAATGTAATATCATTAAATAAAGTATTTAAACTAATAAATATTGCATTTTAGGGAAACTGTGAGAAATATCGTGATCACGGTACTCAACAACAATTTACGGTACTCAATCCAGCCCTAGTTAGTAGCTTAAAGATGAATCGTATATTATTATTACGATCACACAATGAAGGATACAGTTATATTTTGCATTTGATTATTAAATTTCGGTGTCTGAATACCGTAAACACTCTATGGTAAACCATAAATGACTGTATTTAATTTGTATATTTGCTCTGCTGTATTTATTAATGTGTGTAGTTAGTTTTAATGTACTTTATGCAGATACGCTCCCCGAAAACATCATCCTGATGGATGTAAAATGATTAGCTATTTCCAAATAGAAATGCTCAAGTCATTTGGTTATATTTGTACATATAACTATAGAAAAAATATCTCCAGTGTCGTGAAGCCTTACGTTTGTTTAGTTTTTTTCAGTCTGTCTGGACTGTGAACAGTGAAACTGGGACAGCAGCTCTTGACGCGGATACAGTGCAGTGCAGCAGAGTTTGATTGTCTCCTAACATGACATTTACTTCCATGAGTCTCAGCCAACCAAAAACGGAAATGATCATTTGACAAACTTTCATATCCCTATTTAGAAAGGGGAAGACTGCGCCGGACTGCAGCCTGATGATCCAGCAGTTTAAAAGGGGTAGTTCGCCCAAAACTAACCATCGTGATCAAGCATGCAAATCAACAGATGTAATTTTTTTTTTTAAAAAGGCTTATTTTTATGTTTGATGCATCAAAAAACTGCTCCACCAATCAGATTGGCACTTTTGTTCATGTGCCTGGAGCAGCTGAAGTTACAGTAAACACCACTTGAGGGCGCTCAAGCACAAAAACGGTCTAGCCGAGTAAACGTAACGAAAAATGACATGTACGTTTATTTATGTTAATCTAACATCAGGGGTAGGGCTGTACGATGTCGTAAAGTATAACCGTATCGAAAAGAGCCACTATGACGATAACAGTATACGCAATATCCGTCGCAGCGAAGCGAAATAATTTAAATTGGTTTTATCCGACAAGCATTTGTGTGCTGCACGCATGGGTTGTTTATCCAAATCTGACCAATCAGATGCAGCCTTTACTCTCTTCATCTCTGCTTATCCAGTAGACGCAGTTAGCTGAACATTATATTACATTAACACTAATGCCAGGAATGTCCGCCATGGTTTTCAGTCATTCGTGGTGTTTTGAAAGCTTAAATGTTTGCATCTTGACGATGTGTTTCTATAACTATTTATTTTCAGTATGATCATATTACATCAATAAAATGATTTTTAAAATTGCTGATGTGCAAAAGGACCGCTGATGTCTACGTCCCGGATGACACCAACCAATCAGTGCACAATGCAACGCAGTATCATCGAGGTGGGCTGAGCTAAGAACTAGTTGAGAGCGACAGTGCACACGGGAGATAACGCTGGCGATAACACCTGCTATCGAACTCACTCGGCAAAAAGAGACAAAACAGTCACTACTGGTATACTGTGCTACAGTGTGCGTGTCTTAAAAGTAAGTGATCACTATTTATAAAGTTATTATTGACAGAAGATCAGCTGTTGTTCACGTACCACCTGTAGCAGCTTGTTAGCACAGTACTGCTTATATTACCAGCTTAAACTCGGGAATTACCAAGTGTTTAAGTACAAGTTGTAGTTATATGTTCATATGTACACATTTTAGTATGTTACTGATGTATGTTTATAGTATATCACGTATGTGCGCGTTATGCGACGATAATTGGCTACCTGCGGTGATCATTCAAGTTGGACATGCCCAGACAAAGACCCTGCCATCATGCGGCATTCATGTGCTCTTGGCGCCCTCTTGTGGACACTCGGAGAAGTGCACCTTTATTATCTAATGGGCCATTATTTTCTTACTATACTTGTTGTGTGCTGTTCAGTTAGTAATATTTATTGTGAAACATCTGTATTGATTATTGTTTATTGTTTATTTGTTTCAGAAACCACACATATGTTCCATTGTATACCAAGTGCTTCAGTAAACGAAAATCACATCTAATACCCTGAGTGCCTCTCTTCAATTAAGTAACCATCTCACTCAGTTCTGACCGACTGCCTATTGTGTTTCACACCCAAATTTAATACATCCACGAACCCCTCCATTTCAAGTGGTCCTTCGAGCCGGATTGAGTGAATCACAGTAGAGAGATGATGTCTAATTCTGAGCCATATCCTCCTGTTGTCAGACCTAGACGACAAATAAGACAACCTGCATATCTAGCAGATTATGAAGTTCATGGATCAGGCTTTGTGAAGAGAGCTCCAGTATCTAATTGCCTGAGTGAATACGACAATGAAGCAGTCCCACCCATGTCAGCGAATGTATCACGATCATCTTCTCCGACGAGTCAGCCCTCATACACAGATGATCTAATACTCCAAGATGTATGGCCAGAGCCATCTGGATATGAATCGCCAGGGTATGATAAGCAACACTTTCAAGTCCAGCAGACCTCTGATATAAAGTCTATGTGCATGCAGATGAAGAGGGACAATGACGAGCTCCGTAGCTCCATTCTACCAGAAATCCTTTCAGCGCTTCAAGGGCTCAAGGCGGAGAATGCTACATTAAGACGGGAGATCCAGCAGCGTAGCCCCAACATTCAGACACCAATACCAGCTCCCCGCACTCACTTGCCACCCTCAGTCATTAGTCATAGAAGCTCCAGAGCGCATAGTGGTGAAGTTTCTACTCCTCAACCAGCCCGTTATGAGCAGCTGACAGAGCAAATGGGAGATATGACTTTAAATTCTAGGATGTCACATGTAGTTGATGGTCATGGTGTACATTCTCAGAGGGCACACACATATTCAACCCAGCCTTCAGGAACAGGACATTATGAAAATGTGCCCCTTGGTCCAAGATACCATTATCTTCAGACAGAAAGAGAATTCAGTCCAGCCTCACGCCCAGAGTTAGTGCCTAGGATGGAGAAGCTGCATACCCAAGAGCAGATTTATCGAGGCCCTAAGCCTACAATTCCCAGCTTGACCGCAGCTGACCCAAGACAGTTTTCCAGACTACGTATGGCACTGGAGAATATTCTGCCAGCAGATGCGAGTGAACGTTTTAAGTATCAGATTCTGACAGATCATTTGGAGCTTGAAGAGGCTCTCCTGGTGGCAGACTCCTACTGTAATTCTGTGAGACCCTACACAGACACGATGCACGCTCTGGTTAAGATGTACGGTCAGCCCCACAAGCTCGTTCTGCAGAGTATCGCAGAAGTGCTGGAAAGTCCCAACCTTAAGTCAGGAGATGTTAAATCTTTCAAGCTCTTTGCTCTTCGAGTGCGATCATTAGTGAGTATGTTGGAACAATTGGGGCCAGAGGGAGTCGCCGAATTGGACTGTGGCTCACATGTGTCTCGTCTCCAGAGCAAGCTTCCCCATGAGCTGCAAATCAGTTTTAAGAGATATATCCATCCCTTAAGGATCACAGTCCCTACATTTCTACACTTTGCTGACTGGTTAGAATACGAACTCCAAGTACAAGATGACACTGCCAAAGCAGTCATGTATGCCCCACCCTTACCTTTCAAGCGGAGAGAAGGTCGTCATGAACACAAGCCTTCAGGGAGATCAACAAATATTCTACTAGGTGCTGGAAAGCCCACTGCCCCCACTGAATGCCGAATACCTACGTTAGATTCCAAGCCCAGTTCTACTAAGTATAGAGAGAAGTCACACGCCTACTGTCCTTACTGTGACAACTCCAGCCACTTCCTCAATGGGTGTCTTAACTTCAAAGAGCTAACAAAGGAACAGAAAGAGGCATGGATTCGTAAGAATAATAGGTGCTGGCGGTGTGGACGTAATCATCATGCATCCAGATGCACATTAAAGGCTCTGTGTAAGACGTGCAACAGAAAACACCTGCTTGTATTGCATGATCTAAATGAGAGAGTTGTCAGTACTAGTGAAGAGACTGAACCTAAGGAGAACTCGTGTCTTGTAAATACCACAAAGGGCACCCTATATGCAGATCGTTCAGTTGGCAGCCGCAGAGTGCTCTTGAAAGTGAGTAAAGTAATCATTGCAAATGGAGATGCATCAATGGAGACTTTTGCTGTGTTAGATGATGGGTCAGAAAGGACCATTCTACTTCATGCTGCAGCTCAGCAGCTGAAACTCCAGGGCCAGCCAGAAGACCTCATACTGCGCACTGTAAGACAGGATCAGCAGGTGCTTCATGGGACAGCAGTTTCCTTCACAGTCTCACCGGTGTCTCACCCCCACAAGAAGTACCACATTCAGCATGCATTTACAGCCGAACGACTGAGCCTTGCTGAACACACTTATCCAGTGGCTTTCTTACAGAAGAAATATAGACATCTAGCTGGTCTCCCATTGCAACAGATGGATAAAGTGCAGCCTGTATTGTTGATTGGGTCAGATTACCCACATCTCCTCACGCCTGTTGAGCCAGTGCGTCTAGGCCCACCAGGGGGCCCAGCAGCAGTTAAAACCCGCTTGGGATGGACTCTTCAAGGTCCTACACAGGAGGTCCGTCGTGAGCTTAGCACACACCAGTGCTTCTTTACCTCTGTACTACCTAACACAGACCTGTTTGCTCATGTTGAGCGATTGTGGCAGATGGATGTGATACCCTATCGCAACAACAAGATAGTGACACGATCCAAGCTAGACAAGGAAGCAATCAGTCTGTTGCAAGAGAACACTGTGAGAGTAGAAGTACAGGGCACAATGCGGTATGCCACACCGCTCCTCCGAATGCAGAGTATGCCTTGTTTGAACATGCCCAAGGAAGCCGTTCTCCCTCAGCTTAGGAGTGTTGAGAGGAGGCTGCTAAAAAACCCAGAGCAAGCATCTGCCTACCAGGCTGAGATTACTAGATTGAAGGAAGCAGGCTATGTGGCTAAGCTAGAACCAAGAGAAGCGGATTGCTCTAAAGAGTCTTGGTACATCCCCCACCATATGGTGCAGCACAATAATAAGAATAGAGTCGTCTACAACTGCTCCTTTCAATTTGAAGGCCACAGCCTTAATGACTTTCTCCTGCCAGGCCCCACATTAAGCCCATCACTGTTGGCAGTGCTGCTTCGATTCCGAGAGCACCCTGTTGCTATAAGTAGCGACATTCGCGGTATGTTTCACCAAGTCAGGCTGCTCCCTGGTGACATGCCCTTGCTTCAATTTTTGTGGCGAGACTTAAAGCCTGATCTACCCCCTGATGTGTACCAGTGGCAGGTACTTCCCTTTGGCACCACGTGCAGTCCCTGCTGTGCCTCATATGCCCTGCAGACTCACGTTATTAATCACAGTCAGCCGGGAGATCGATTTAGAGAGGTAATTGAGAAATCATTCTATGTCGACAATTGCCTCCACAGTCTTCATTCTCCTAAAGAGGCTAAAGACCTTGTTGACGGACTTTGTGCTCTCCTAGCCAGTGGAGGATTTGAGCTTCGACAATGGGCTAGCAATTGTCCATCTGTGATTACTCACCTTCCTCCAGAATCCAGATCTAGTACCTGCGAACTGTGGCTCAGCCAAGACCAACAAGATGTCCATGAGTCCACGCTTGGACTGCAGTGGCATTGCCAAACTGATACACTGCGCTACAAACACAGAGCTAGGAGCTCTGCGCAAGTGACTATGCGCCACATATACAGAGTACTGGCAAGTCAATACGATCCTCTCGGATATATCATCCCATACACTACCCGGGCTAAAATATTAGTACAGCGTTTGTGGGACAAGAAACGGGACTGGGACGACCCACACCTGCCAGAGGATCTACTCGCCTTATGGCACGAATGGGAGAAAGAACTGAGTGGACTAGAGGAGATATCCTTAGCCAGGTGCTACTCTCTGTCAGAAGTAGATCACGCATCTTGTAAATATGAGATCCACATCTTCTGTGATGCTTCAGAGCAGGCGTATGGGTCAGTGGCCTATCTGCGAATAGAGCACAAGGAGGGTGAAGTAGAAGTTGCCTTTGTTGCTGCCAGGTCCCGTGTTGCCCCCCGAAAGCAACAATCTATACCGAGACTAGAGTTGTGTGCTGCTTTAAGTGGAGCACAGCTTTCCCAACTCCTGAACACTGAGCTTACAGTCCCTATCCACTCCACTACGCTCTGGTCTGACTCTACCACTGTGCTTATGTGGTTGACATCTAGCTCCTGTCGTTACAAGGTATTTGTGGGGACAAGAGTAGCTGAGATCCAAGAGATGACAGCATCCGCTGTCTGGCGCTATGTTCGATCATCAGACAACCCGGCCGATGACATCACTAGAGGCAAATCTCTCCAAAACCTCTCTAAAGACAGCAGGTGGAGTCAAGGACCATCTTTCCTTAAGCTCCCTTCTGAGAGCTGGCCAGAACAGCCGCATTTAGCAGCAGAAGGGCCGAACTCTGAACTAAGACAGTCATCCTTCTCTGTTTTAGTAACCACTACTGCTCCCTCAGCTAAACTGCAGCACTTCAACACCCTGACAGAGTGCCTGAATGCTTATGGACAGGAGCTTCATGGGGCGGCCTACACCTCCAGTGCTGAACTGCAAAAGGATGTTCAACGTGCAGTTCTCCGTCAAGCACAAGCCGAGTCCTTTCCAGAAGAGCTGAGACTATTGATGTCTGGAAAATCAGTATCATCGAAGAGCAGACTACTCACTCTTTCCCCAGAACTTGATGCTGCTACTGGACTTATTAGAGTAGGAGGCCGGCTACGGCATTGTGAGGTCTTGGAAGCAGATACTATACACCCAGTTGTCCTTGATCCTCGGCACCCAGTCACACTGTTAATCATAAGAGATTATGATGAGAGACTGCATCATCCAGGTACGGAGCGGTTGCTTGCAGAAATCAGAAGGACATACTGGATACTGAGAGGTCGTGAAGCCATCCGACGATACCAACACCAATGTACAGAGTGTAAGAAGTGGAGAGGACGCCCAGAGGTCCCATTGATGGCAGACTTACCCCTTACAAGACAAAGATACTTCCGTCCTGTCTTTTACTCGACTGGGATGGACTGTTTTGGCCCCTTCGTTATTAAGATTGGTCGACGTAATGAGAAGAGGTGGGGTATAGTCTTCAAGTGTATGACCACAAGGGCAGTCCATCTTGATCTTCTCTCTAGTATTGACTCTGACTCATTCTTGATGGCTCTAAGAAGGTTCATAGCCAGAAGAGGCAACCCCCATGAGTTACTGTGTGACCAAGGCACTAATTTTAAGGGAGGAGAACGTGAACTGAATGAGGCCTTTGCTGCTCTCCAAAGTGAGCTACAGAACCATCTTGCTGTTCAGCAAATTAAATTCACCTACAACCCACCAAGTGCCCCTCACTTTGGTGGATGCTGGGAGAGGGAGATCCGTTCGATCAAGGCAGCCCTTAAAGTGACAATCGGAGCCCAGACAGTTACTGAGGAAGTGTTAAGGACCGTCCTGATTGAGGTAGAAGGTATCCTCAACTCTAAGCCTTTAGGATATACCTCCTCTGACGTCGCTGATCTCGACCCAATTACCCCGTTCTGCTTCTTAATTGGTCGCAGAGATGTGTCACTTCCCCAAGTCGTCTATGAGGACTCAGAAATCCTAAGTCGACGGCGGTGGCGTCACAGCCAACTACTTGCAGAGCACTTCTGGAGGCACTTTCTGAAATACTACCTACCTGACCTTCAGGCACGGCAGAAGTGGAAAACCGAGAAGAGGACATTAGAAATTGGGGATGTAGTCATGATAGTTGATCCTCAACTCCCTCGTGCACTTTGGCCAGTGGGCAGAATCACACAAGTGTTCCCTGGTGCAGATGGTCGAGTGCGGACTGCTAATGTGGAGGTTAAGGGCAAGACTTATACCCGTATTGTGGCTCGACTTATACAGCTTCCAGCTCTACCTGAGGACGAATAATGCATGTTATGGATCTTTTGTCAGATGAGCGAATTCAGTTCTGAATTCGGGGGCGGCTGTGCAAAAGGACCGCTGATGTCTACGTCCCGGATGACACCAACCAATCAGTGCACAATGCAACGCAGTATCATCGAGGTGGGCTGAGCTAAGAACTAGTTGAGAGCGACAGTGCACACGGGAGATAACGCTGGCGATAACACCTGCTATCGAACTCACTCGGCAAAAAGAGACAAAACAGTCACTACTGGTATACTGTGCTACAGTGTGCGTGTCTTAAAAGTAAGTGATCACTATTTATAAAGTTATTATTGACAGAAGATCAGCTGTTGTTCACGTACCACCTGTAGCAGCTTGTTAGCACAGTACTGCTTATATTACCAGCTTAAACTCGGGAATTACCAAGTGTTTAAGTACAAGTTGTAGTTATATGTTCATATGTACACATTTTAGTATGTTACTGATGTATGTTTATAGTATATCACGTATGTGCGCGTTATGCGACGATAATTGGCTACCTGCGGTGATCATTCAAGTTGGACATGCCCAGACAAAGACCCTGCCATCATGCGGCATTCATGTGCTCTTGGCGCCCTCTTGTGGACACTCGGAGAAGTGCACCTTTATTATCTAATGGGCCATTATTTTCTTACTATACTTGTTGTGTGCTGTTCAGTTAGTAATATTTATTGTGAAACATCTGTATTGATTATTGTTTATTGTTTATTTGTTTCAGAAACCACACATATGTTCCATTGTATACCAAGTGCTTCAGTAAACGAAAATCACATCTAATACCCTGAGTGCCTCTCTTCAATTAAGTAACCATCTCACTCAGTTCTGACCGACTGCCTATTGTGTTTCACACCCAAATTTAATCCATCCACGAACCCCTCCATTTCAGCTGATAAATTACGTTTTTCGCACGTTAGTTATATTATACGAAATACTGTTATCGCAACACTCAACAATACGAGTGTAACGGATCACGGTCGATTCGTACGGATCAACACTAACTGTTCGGAACACACGTGACCTGCAGAGTAATACATTGTTTTACTTGTAGATTAATCACCGAGAGATCGCCTCTCGCATCATTCAAATCACACGTAAGAAAGCATTTAGGCTCTCCTGTAAAATATAATGATGATGGCAGAGTAGTTGTGGTGGGTTATTCAGGATGTGGTGGGTTTCTTAGGTTATTAAAGGTGTTTTCTGACACTGCTTGTTTAGCCTGCATTCATGCATTTCTTTGTAAGCTGCACAGTTAATCATTAAAAGATCAGGATCTCAACACCCACGCAACATCAATTATAAATGATGGTGATTTCATTCATTCACTTTCTTGTCGGCTTAGTCCCTTTATTAATCCGGGGTCGCCACAGCGGAATGAACCGCCACCTTATCCAGTAATTTTTTACGCAGAGGATGCCCTTCCAGCCGCAACCCATCTCTGGGAAACATCCACACACATACTCATACACTATGGACAATTTAGCCTACCCATTTCGCCTCAAAAATGAAAGCTGTAGGCAGCGATTACATTATTTAACCAGTAGGTGGTGACAAGCAACCAATAAAAATATGCCACTGAATAACTCTCCAACAATGACCATCTAGCAATGAAGCGTGAAGATTTATGAGTGAAGATCTGAATCATTTATTGAAATTAAGGGTGCTTTCACACCTGTGAATCAATTCAGTTGTTCTGAAACTGAGATTACAAATGTTACATTGTTGCTCTTTGCTCTTGGAGCGGTTCGCTTTCACACGGCAAAGTTTCTAATCGGTCCAAAAGAGCTAAAACAAGCCACGCGTGAGTAAACTCTCCTCACATTGGTCAGAGTGTCAGGAGAGGTGGTGGTTTGGTGGTGATTGACAGGGTGCGCGTGACGTGTCTGAGGAGAGATGTGGTGGGGAGGGGTGAGAAGGGTGCGCGACGATGCCTATTTGAGGACCGGGAGAGAGACGCGAGATTACCGGGAGATCATCACTCGTTTGCGGGCATCCGGAGACTCGCGAAACTTCCCGCCATGCTCATAATTTTCTCTTCATATAGCCGTAAGCCTATTACATATCCATAAAACACTGTGATATAACCGCGCTCGGATCGGATCGCTTTCTCACTGCAATCGAACCGCTCCAGGGTTCGTTTTAATCGAGCCGAGACCACCTCATTCAAGCGATCTTGGAGCGATTACTTTGGCGCGGAACAGAGCGCGATTGCCCTGTTCACATATGCCAAACGAACCGCGCTAACTGGGCAAACGAGACACGTTGTAGGTGTGAAAGCACCCTAAGACTACAATAAATATGGGTGGTACAAATGATAATGTTAGATTTCTACATTTAGCGTTATCAGCAACAGTAGGAGTAACAAGGAATATTTCACAGTGCTGAATATTTTATATTTATTTTTTTCAGCTGATTATTTCTTCGGTTTATTTTTAATTAAATTAATTATGCAATTCATGCTAGAATCATGCTAGTAACATGCTAATACATGCTAGAATCATGCTAATTCATGCTAGAATCATGCTAACAACATGCTAATTCCTGCTAGAATCATGCTAACAACATGCTAATTCCTGCTAGAATCATGCTAGAAACATGCTAATTCATGCTAGAATCATGCTAGTAACATGCTAATGCATGCTAGAATCATGCTAACAACATGCTAATTCATGCTAGAATCATGCTAACAACATGCTAATTCATGCTAGAATCATGCTAGTAACATGCTAATTCATGCTAGAATCATGCTAGTAACATGCTAATTCATGCTAGAATCATGCTAACAACATGCTAATTCATGCTAGAATCATGCTAGTAACATGCTAATTCATGCTAGAATCATGCTAGTAACATGCTAATTCATGCTAGAATCATGCTAACAACATGCTAATTCATGCTAGAATCATGCTAGTAACATGCTAATTCATGCTAGAATCATGCTAGTAACATGCTAATTCATGCTAGAATCATGCTAACAACATGCTAATTCATGCTAGAATCATGCTAGTAACATGCTAATTCATGCTAGAATCATGATAGTAACATGCTAATTCATGCTAGAATCATGCTAGTAACATGCTAATTCATGCTAGAATCATGCTAGTAACATGCTAATTCATGCTAGAATCATGCTAACAACATGCTAATTCATGCTAGAATCATGCTAGTAACATGCTAATTCATGCTAGAATCATGCTAACAACATGCTAATTCATGCTAGAATCATGCTAATTCATGCTAGAATCATGCTAACAACATGCTAATTCATGCTAGAATCA